TATGTTAAAGCACCAAAATTTAGTGACAACTATTCGAGCTGTGCGCAAAACACGTAGTTCATTATTAGTTTTTGTTCTCACTACAAAAATGCCCTGCACGACCACTACGCGTTAATTGCAATTTTTTTTTTTTTCAAAATTTTTTTTTTGAACTCGCAGGCTTGCTGTAATATGTTCAAATATAAATGAATGTATTTATGTATGTGCGATTGTAAATTAGAGTTGTTGAATTTTTTGTTTAAACTAAATATGTGTGAAACAAAAATCGCTATACCATAGAGTGTCATACATACATACATATTTCATGAAATTCTCACATGACCACACAAGCGCGCCTTTGTACCCACATTTTCATACAAATACATATGTACATGCTACATGTACATTACATACAATTTCATATATAAACAATTTTTGTTGTTTTTTCTCTTTCTTTATTTTTTATTTAATTTCCTTTTTTATATTTTGACGTGTATAATTTATGTTTATTTTAACATTTACCATTTATTTACATTAAATTTACAACATTTATGAATAGGCATACCTACATACATATGCATATATATGTACGTAGGTTGTGTTTGTGTTTTGTTTTCACTTTTTATAAATTTATTTAAATAATTTTGTAAACGTTTTTGTATTATTCATGTAAAATTTTTAGTTATTTTTATAAGTTGCTAATTAATTTAATTTTACGCTAACTACAGCAATTAGGTTTTAGTTACATTTTTTTCGCTATTCTTTTGTTTTTTATTTACTACCTTTTGTTGTTGGTTTTATTTTCGTTTTCGTTTGCATGCGCTTTATTACTATAAATAAGTTTTTTTTAATTATTTTATTTTGTTTTTTTCTGTTTTTTTTTTTTTTTTGGATATATACAAACAATTGTTTGTGGTTTTACTAAAGTTTATTATTTATGTAATTTTTTTTTAATATTTAAATATATATTTTTTTTTCTTAACTTTACGCTACACTACATTTTTTATACATAATTTACATAACATTTGCATGTTCTCTGTTGTTATTCAATAAATTGTATTTAAATACATATTTTTTTATTGATTTATATTTGCTAATTACACAAATAATTACAATGCGCATAATAGAGTGCGCACATGCTTGCATACATACATATCTATTTTTTTATTTTTTTTATAGGTATTTTTAACATGAAAGCCGGTTAATTCGATTTTATGAGCAATTAAAAGATTTTACCTCATCTCATTTTCCATTAATAATCACATTTTCTTGTTGTCGCATAATTATACATTAATTTGTGATGGTTTTGTCTAATTTGAAAGAGTGTTGCTGTGGTTTAAAGGTTATAAAATTTGGTAGGAGAAACAAAAAAATTATGGATTTTAAAAACACATAATTTAATTAGTAGCGCAATTGGAATTTATGTTTCACGCAAAAAATTATTGTATTTAATTCCTAAAAAAAAATAATACATTTGAATTAAATAAAATACATTTAAGTAATTGATTAGCGGTATTAAAAATTGTTGTATTGCAGATTTTAAAATTTTCAATTTTCATTGGTGTTATGATGACAATATAAAGGTAATTTCTTCAAAATAGTTTCGAAGCAGAGAAATCAAGAAAGCTTGAATTTTGCTTGCAAAAATTGTAAGAATAAAAAAATTTAATATCGAAAAAAATTGGAGTTTATGTGGCTGTATGAGTGATTTTTCGTGTTGGTTATTTTAAATCTTAATTTTTTTTTTGTTTTAATATTTAAACTCATGTCTGATTGAACTTCGTTGGCCACATTAGCCGAGTGGTGAAACGGGCTTCGGATAGCGAGATTTCGATTGCTGTATGGTCAGCCGTTTGGGAGCGGTTGAGAAAAAAATTTAAGTTTCTTACTTTGTTGAAAAAAAAAAAATATTATAAAGACGAACACCACAAATTATAGGACTCTGCAACTGCGGTTACAATGCCCAGCAAAGGCGTTGAAGGCGGCGCAAGTCTTGGAGCAAGTTACGAGGGCTAAGAAACCTGGCCGCCAAAAGCCCATTAGATACGGTCCAAATTGAAGGTTACCTCACGATGTTCTTTATTTTTTAAATGGCAAAGTGCATCATGTTTTAGTTACAGCTCAAATGGTTCGGTAATTGTTGGCCAAAAACAGCACTGTAACGATCGCCTAACAATCATGCTCAATCCAATATCGAATGTTAAATAATTATAACAAAACAAAATTAGTCAGAAAAAAGACATAAAAAAAAAACTTATATAAAATAGAATTAGTAAAGTTGACTAAAATAAATGAAAACAAAACAAAGTAAAATTAAATAAAATAAAAAAATAAAATAAACTAAAAAATATTAAATTAAAATAATTGAAATAAATTAACTCAAAGTCAAATAAAAAAAATCAAAATAAATAAAGCAAAAAAGATAAAGAACCCATTAAAATAAAATAAAATAAAATAAAATAAAATAAAACAAAATAAAATAAAATAAAATATAATAAAATAAAATAAAATAAAATAATATAAAATAAAATAAAATAAAAAAAAATAAAATAAAGTAAAATAAAATAAAAATAGAATGAATAAAAATAAATGAAAACAAAATAAAATCTAATAAAAGAAAATTAAATTAAATTAAATAAAGCAAAATTTATAAAGTTAAAAGAAATAAAAAAACACATTTAAATAAAATAATAAAAAAAAAACAAAATCAATCAAATTAAAATAAAATAAAAAAAATTAAAATTAAATAAACAAAGCATTATAAAAAAATAATAAAAAATAAAAATTAGTATGAATTGAAATAAAATCATTTAAATAAAATTTATTTAAATGTAATAAGCCAAAAAAATAATAGTAAATTAAAATATATGGAAATACGCTACAGAACGAAATAAAATAAACCATTAGTTTTAGAAAATATTGTTTAGTAATTTTGAAATTAAAAATTTGAAATATGAATTGCATTTTTTTGCTAAAAATATGCTGACCAAAATTATACGCGTTCATTATCAGCTTATAAGATTTAACAGATATCGCCTGTATGCATAAACAGCTGTAAATTAAAACAAGAAAAAATAATTGACATTAAAGTAGTAACAGGATTTAATAAAATCTTTTCTTGTATCTTAAAATCATTACAAAATATTAAATTTTATAGTTAAAAGCAAGTAAGGAATTATAGAGATAATAAAAAACTATAAGTAAAGCAAGCAAATAAAAATACATACATATATGAGAGAACATTTTTATAGCATTTAAAAATCAAATGTTGGGTAACTTAAAAATAAATAAATATATAACTATTTTTTTTTGTTTTTAATAAAAACTGAGAGTAATTATTTGTATATAAACATAGACGGCAATTTTAAACAATTATATTAAATATATAGTGACATTTTTTCTTTTACAAAAAAAAGCTAGCTAAAATATGCATTTGAAATATATATGTATATAAAATTGCCTTTATTTGAAAGCATTTATTTTAAACATTTTATAAATGATAGTTTTTTTTTTAATTTGAATTATAATATTAATTTTTTAGTTTTTATATTTCGTTTTTTTTTTTTTTAGTTTTTACGTTACAGTATAAAATTAAAGCAATGCGTGCGGAGAATCATGGTGCTCTTGCTCTCTCTCTCTCTCTCTTTCAGTTGACGTACTTGGGACACACGTTCGCTAGAATAATATTATATATGTATATGCTTAGTTTAATGTATAAATGTAGAGTTTGCTGTGCTTATCAATTAATTATATATATATTTTTTTTCACTATTTTACAAGGTATTTACACATGTTAAATTCTTATTTAATGTTAAGTTATTTTTATTTATTTATTTAATTATTAATATTATTTTTATTTCTCATAAAGTGTGTATGTAGTAGTACGTAGTTGTAGGGTGCAGAAAACTGTTTATTTTTTCACCGTTAAGAGTGAGAAATGTTAGTGTTACAATCGTATAAAGATTTCATGTTTTTTATAGGCTTGGTTTTCATATCAAAAATCTGGTATAACATATAGGTCAACGGCTGTTATCATCTTAAGTATGAAGGCATGAGCGTAGGAAGGCAAAATAAATAAGTAACACAAAAAAAAAAAACAGAAATCGCAATTCCAACAAAATGCATGAAAATATATATTATATAAAAAATGCTTTTACTCGGGTATATTAGAACCTCTACAGAAGAAGTCTTTACCAAACAAAGTTTTTCAATCACTTTAATTTTCAGCTTATTTGAGTTTATAAATAACTAAATTTACATAGCAAGAAAAATATGTAAATTCAAAAACAAAATTTTCTTTTTAATAAAAAAATTCTTTATTAAAAAAAATGTGTTCCTTTTTTTGTCACAAAATTTTGTTTTCAAGCAGTGAAAAATAAAAATTTGTTTTTTTTTTTTAAACAAGAAAATATTTTTCTATTTAAAAATTTCTGTTCTCAATAAATTTTTTGACATTTTTTTAGAAGTGAAAGAACTTTCCGCTTATAAAAACAGAATTGTGTATTTTTCTTTGGAAAACGAAATCTCTTTATTCTGGCAAATATGGCCATAGAATGCATTCATGAAAAATTGGTTCCAAAATTATGCTAAAATCCTAGCATGTTGAAAAATTCAATTTAGGCGTTATTTTTTTCGAAAGTACAAATAAAGAGCGACCTTACACTTGTAGTCCCGCAATATTTTATTGGTGTCAATATTTCTTGAATGGATGAACCCGATTTCTTTCAGGTGCTCCTTCACTTTACTTATCGTTCTATGGCCTTATGTATATTATACTTTTTGTGAAAATTTTTTAATTTTCAACCAAAGCTCATACCTTCTTTACACGTTAGTAATCACATTAGAAATATTTCAAAATTAAAATTTCTTGTAGAATGTTTTTTCTACGTTATATGCGCGTTGTTTATACAATTTTGTATCACTTTATAATTTGCAGCTTGGCTGGTTTTAACCATTTATATACGCGCACATTTTTAATAATTTTCACATTTTATTACTAGTAATTATTATTTTTTTTTTAATTTTTATAAATTTTTATTTTCCTCTTGACTTACGTTATTTTTAGTAAATTTTTTGTTCATATGTACGCATGTATGTTTAAATCATTTTTCCTTTTTTACTAATAAATAGTTTTTAACTACTAATTTTTTTACATAGTTTTTTGTTTTTCTATTTTTTTCCCCTTTCACATTTTCATTTACGCTTTATACACAATCACAAACGCAATTTCACTTACATGCTTTTACTCACACATTAATTCGAATGAATTAGTTATGAGCAACGCACATCAATGAGCGATTCCCATTTCTATGTCCTTGCATTGACATTGCCCGACGTCGCCGTGCTGTGCATATCGGCAGCGTTTGACGTCGCTTGTGGTAGTAGTTCATAACACTTCGCAGCTGTGGTTGGCATAAATCGACTGAGGTAGCTCATACTATGGCCACTTTGTCCACTCGGCCCACTGGGTTGGTGTTGACTGTTCGCATTCACATTCACATTCACATGGGCCAAGTAGTTGCTGTTGTTGTTTTTGGTTTGGCGTGCCTGACGCAAATCTTCGTTATTCAGCTTATTTTTCGTTTCTACGTAGACATTATTTGTTGGTGTAACTGTAAGATTCATTAAATTTGCCGTTTGTTTCAGCTTACGGGTCTCTTTGATGCGATTTGAATCGATTATTGTTGTTGTTGTTGTTGCTGCTGCTGCTGCTGCTGCTGCTGCCTGCGTTGAATTCGTTGTTGCAGCTGTTAACGCTTTGATGCCTTTGTAACCAATCGTTGGCACATCCAGTTCATTCACTTGGTCATCTTGCTCTCTTTCCTTCGCTGTCGCGTCGTCATCACGATAAACTTCGTACTCTTCATCATGATAGTCGTTCAAATTTGATTCAGCATGGGATTTGAGTAGGCTCTCTTTAATTCCATTTATGCCTTCGACTTCATCCATTTCCCGATCTAATTTCGAATAAGTCTTCCTCCGGCGCTGGAAAAGGTAAAGAGATAGTAAAAAATTATATCAGACATCAGCAGTTGTGAGTTTTAATATAGAACTTTAAATTTGGTGGAAATTATGAAATTAATTATTAATTATTTGTCAAACATTTCAGTAATAAACGGAGCTTGTCTAAGCATTTGAGTCTCAACATAGTTTTTGGGAGCAATTGTGAAAAGGAAACTGAATTGGAAAGAGCACATAACTCAGAGATAAGAGAAGGTCTTTTCTGCTCCTCTTTATGCTTTTTAAACGAGCTCTCTGTAGAAACTGGAATGTGAGCACCAGAAGCTGCCACTGGATTTCTCTAGTCGTACTCTTACATATATGATGTAGAGGTACTCTTTTCAGTAGCCTGTCGTCTTGAGCTGTCACACTATTATTGTTGAGTATTGTTTGCCATTTCATCATGGAACATTATATATTGATGGATTGAGTGAGCATCAGAGTTAATATTCTATGCTAGATCTCAGGCGGCCGCGGCAGCCGAGTGGTTAGCATTGCGTACTGCCACAGAAGGCTTGGGTTCTGATCTCTGGACGATTAACATCCAAAAGTTAGAGAAAATAAATTGAAAAAAAAAAATACTAAGCTAAATTTTGTGATTGTTGTCGCCCCTTGGCAAGGGTCTTCGATGGTATTTCGGACATGAATAAAGGCTCCTCATAAAAAACCATCAGGTGTTCGGAGGTGGCTATTTGTTAAAAAAAATGTGAAGACGCATACCCACAAATTGAAGGAATAGCTTGGCGGTTACAAGCGCTGGTTATATATATGGTTTTGAAGGTTTTGGAGCCGTTTAGTATATTCCGAGTGGAGATCGTAATGCTGAACTATCCTACACCGTTGGTAGTCGCACACTCGCATTTTGCTTCTCGATCTCGAAAGCCCTACGCTTGTGAGCCTAAATTAATGCCAAAACTTACAGCAGAGATACACGTATATTCGGAGAGTGTTGGTATGCTGACATAAATAGGACTATGAAGTATCAGTTCTATTTTAGCTTCCAGCTTTATTAGGACAACGTTGTTTTTTGCTTAGCAAATTAACTGCTTAGATCAGCTTTCATCAGTAAGACCGATAGCAGACGGTCGGGTAAAACCACGTTCACTACAATCAGACATTCAGATCTGTCGAGGAGGAGATTGTAAGGTCATTAATCCTTCAAAAACAGTTTTGCATGAGCAAAACAATCGGCGTGAAAACCGAGCACTGTCTCATTGCAAGCCATGGTAGGAGGATGTGTTAGTTTTCTAATGTCTTATGTCACAACCGCTGAAACATAGATACTCAGCAGTCGGCAGAGCATTACCACAGCCATTGACCAGTCTGCAGTGCGGCCCGACATCGTCTTTCGGTAATTTTTATTTCGGCTGCCTTATTGAACAAGCGTCTATAACCCTGTGGGTGACATAAAGCACACCTGCATATGTAATTTGAATATCTAGAAGGAAAAGCAGAAACTCGTTTCTTAGTGGTACAGTATCACGTCAGGCTAGCTGGTTTAAGTACGCTTGATCAGGGTTAAGTAATTTAGAAAACTCTGCAAATAATCATTATCTAATACGAATACACCTTGGATTTTGGTTTACCTACTTGAACACTGGCACGTCTAGCACCTTAAAGATCGGCAGTATCAGTCAGATTCAAAACTCGAGACATATTCGTACGATCCATTGATGTCGTCATTGTGGCTTTGGTGAAGTCTAAATTTGATGAACTCCAACAATTGACACAATAAATGATTGCTGATGAATCGGCTTTGAATGCTATTGCTGTATCCCGAATATTAAGTAATCATCTGGATTACAAAAAGAAATCTGCTCGATGTGTGCCACGAATTTTAAATGAGGCCCAAAAAGAGGCTCGAGTGTATTCAGCTAAATTTTTCCAACACAAATTCGAAAATAGTAAGCCTGGCATTTTCAGTGAAGACGTTACTGGTAACGAATCCAGCAGTCCATGGTATAGCGCACAACAGGAGCAAACCCACCCATAAAATCTAAGCAACAAAAATCAGCAGCAAAAGTAATGTCAGTTTACTTCGACCGATCTAATATCGTAGCTTCCACTGGAGGGTCGGACGGTCACTGCGAAACGGTACACCGAAGAGTTGTTACCAAAAGCTTTCAACATTTTTTGGAAAACAGGAAGAAAGAGGATTTGCGGTGCTACTTTTTATATCAGGACAACGCGCCATCCCACACTGCTGAAATAACGAGTCATTTTATTGCCATCTTTGGGACCGACGAAATACGTCCATTCCGCGGATATTTTATTAATATTAATATTAGCAGATTTTTTTCAGGTAAAAGCTAAGCTAAAAATGGCTGCTGCATGTTCAAAAGAATATTTGATATTTCTCGTTTTATTTTCGAGATTTAAATACCATGAAGTAATGACTATTTCACAATGAGAAATTACAAATGTGAGTACTCTCGCATGTGTACATAGTATATATGTATAGATACACCAATGCATTACATTAGATCAAATAGAATGCATAAATCTCTAACCGAACAGTTAGTGGTTTTATAAACGCTGAGTACTTTTGTAGAATATACATACTTACGTCTATATGTAATTAGAAATTGTGGAACATCGGCGAAACAATACCATATATACACATGGGTGAGTGTATGTACGAAATGAAATGCATTTGATAGGCGGCAACCATAAATTGTTTAGCTTTATAGCATTTTGGTATTCACATTCGAATGACTCAATTTCCGCAGAGTCAGTCAAGTCAGCACAACCGACCCAGCATTTGTATGTAGTGAATGTTGTAGTGTGCAATATGCATATACGTGTATATCAATGGAAACACGAGTCACGCAGTTCTCACGGTCAGTCGAATAGTCAAACCCAATGACGGTGGCTGCTGCTCGCTGCCTGCGCTACTTAACCACACGCTTAACCAATCAAACCCATCGGCATAATATTCAATGGACCAGCTAACCAACTGACCGGCGTAGGCAATGAACCATAGCATCTCACATATAACTCATGTACATATATACCTATGTATATATACATTTATGGTTATATGAAAATTTTGTTTGAAAAGAAGAAAAAAATCAGTCACTCGGTGGGTCTACAAAACCGCGGCTGTTTCAATATTTGGTAATTACAAATGCAGGCATGGCACAGAAATGTGTATTTAGTTGTATGTGTGTTGCTCATAAACCGCACACAAGTGAAAAGCACACATACACATGTACACAGGCACACTTATAAAGTATACGAATTAATATCCTGTCTGCCTCGAAATTCCATAGAAAGTCCAAGCGTGAAAATTAGCGTGTAATTTATGCTTTGCCATAAAAGGAAAGCAAAAAAAAATAGAAAAATTGCACAAAAATTGGAAAATAATTCAGGCACACACCGCTAATAGCGAAATAAATCGTAAATATTCGATATTTCAACTTCCTTCCTGCGCAGCTAGTCGTAGGTCGGTGGTCAGCGTTCGTTGGCGGCAATATAAAATTATTAGTTAAAGTAAAATTTGTACTTCTCGCTAAAACGCTTAGGTGCTGGTCAAATGTGTGTATGTGCACTGTTGTTCAACTGCCGCACACAAGCACCTAATACTGACTACATGCAATGCCAATGTATGCTTATTATGCACTGTGCGCCTAATAATATGCTTTATTTTATGTGCATTTTGATGTTGCTTGGCATTTTAGGCCGCATTTGAGTGGTGTAATATTTTATTTTTGACCGCATTGTTATCGTAAATATAGCATAGAGTGTACAACAAAAGACTGCTCCTGTATATTCTGTACTTCGTATTGCCCCCCGCTTGGTGCTGTGGCATGTTAAATGGAATAATCGGTGTTTAGCGTTTGATGATAAATTTAGCCATATTTTGTAAGCGGCTGTCGAGCATGGTTCATTATCGATATAATCACAATTTATTTAAATTTGATATGGATTTTACTTAAATGAACACACATACATACATTTGTAAGTTGTTGTGTGGAATTAGGTAGAAATATTAAGAAAACCGGAAATATTCGCCAAATGAGAATCCGAAATTGGCACTGAATATAATTTAAATTTTAATAAGTTGACATTGTCGTAAAACCTCTGATATTAAACTTTATTCATAAATTAAAATCCAAAAAATCTTAATTTCAGAAATATATTTCAAATGGATAATAAAAAATTTAAAAACAATAAAATTTTAAAATATACAACTAAAAATAAATTAAGTAGAAAACGTTAGAAAAGTTCAGTTAAAAGAATGGAAATAAAACACGACGCAATAAACTACAATAAAATAAACTAAATTAAGAAATTAAAATTGAATAAAAAAATTAAAATATATAAAAATGAAATAAAATGATGTAAAATAAAATATAATAAAATAAAATAAAACATAAAATAAATTAAAGTTCAATAAAAAATAAAATAAAATAAAATAAAATAAAATAAAATAAAATAAAATAAAATAAAATAAAATAAAATAAAATAAAATAAAATATAATATAATATGAATTTCGGTTTGCAGATTTTTTCAAAATGGCTCTTTATCTCAATTATATACATATAATTGGCGCGTTGTAACCGCTAAAATGATTTTCCAACTTTCGCGTTTTCGTCTTGATGTTTTTCCAACAAATGGAGGGACCTACAGTTTAACGCTACAGCTGCCTCCGAACGGCTGGTGGGTTCTTATGAGAAGCCTCCTCCTTCTCTCGAGAGTGGTTTTAAGACAGAAAAGAAAGCTACCTTATTATATAGAATTATATACTTTTTAATGGTATTTATTTAAAATAAATTGAATTTTGATTTATCTATATATCACAATTAGGTTTTCTTCCTTTTCGACCACCCCATAGGTGACAACTATTGCTCTGGTCATTTAAAAAGACTTTTGAGAAAAATATTGAGAAAATTGAACAACAAACCAGCGAATGTAAAAATGAAGAACAACAACCGCAAAAGCGAAAAAAAGCCAATACAAATGACAGAAAGAGCAGTAAACC